ACCCCCCCCCGTACAACCCCATCATACCCCCCCCCTCTTCCAATACTCACATACACGGAAGTCCATAAAGGTCGTCTTCTTGGGGTTCGTCTCCACAAACAGCTTCTCCTCGCCATTCGGCATCTGCACCTCGAGAAGCACCATTGTGAGGCGAACTGCTGTGAGTCAGGTGTAACCACCGGAGAACAATGGTAACGCCGAGCAGCTGGGTTGGCGATGAGCCGTTGGCGATGAGCCGAGGTTGGCGATGAGCCGAAGTCGGCGATGAGCCGAGGTTGGCGATGAGCCGAAGTTGGCGATGAGCCGTTGGCGATGAGCCGAAGTTGGCGATGAGCCGAGGTTGGCGATGAGCCGAGGTTGGCGATGAGCCGGAATGGCGATGGGCCGGGTTGGCGATGAGCCGTTGGCGATGGGCCGCTCTTCCTCGATCCAGCCAGCCCCTTCCCCATCACCCATTGGCTCCCGAGTCAGACCACTTGACCGCCAATTGGACTCAACCAGGCCACAGCCCTCCCCTCCCCTCCCCCCTCCTCTCCTCTCCCCTCCCCTCCCCTCCCCTCCCAGCCTCCCCACACCCACACAGACAAGAGCATCCATGGGTGGCTCTCTGGTGTCCAAGTTTGCGTTCATTCCGCCGACGCCTGCGACATACCGAGCGGACGATGTGCGGTTCGAGGCCATTGCCGGCGGGAGCGGGCATGAGATCAGCATCCAGCACGTGAACAAGGGCTACGCCACGTCGAAGCGAAGCAGATCATCTGATCTGGTGGCTATCTATTCTCATGGTAATGCGGAGGATTTGGGTCTCAATGCTGATCTCATCACTTATCTTGCAAATGTTGCAGAGATGGAGATCGTCGCCTACGACTACTCGGGCTACGGTCCGCTGACAAACGGCCAGGTCTCTCCGAACGAGTCGCGCGCGTATGCCAACATCGAGGCTGTCTTTGACTATGTCCACGACGTCATCGGCGTGCCTGATGAGCGTATCGTCATCATCGGTCGCTCTCTCGGCACCGGGCCCTCCTGCCAGGCCGCCATCCGCCACCCATCCATCGCCGGCCTCGTTCTCATCTCGCCGCTTGCCTCGGCCATCAAGACACAACTGGCCTTTACCGTCCCGGGCTTTGACATCTTCAAGAACTCTTCCAAGATCTCGCATGTTGCCGCGCCGGTCCTCATCATCCACGGCACCAACGACCGCGTCGTGCCCTTTGCTCATGGCGAGCAGCTTGCAGCCCTCGCCCCTAACCTCTATGAGCTCGTCGCTGTCGACGGCGCCGGCCACAATGATCTCATCGACAGTATGGGCCTCGAAAGCTACTTTGATACCATTGCCGACTTTGTCCGCGCCCTGCCGGCGCTCAACGCTTCCGCTGCTGCCGCCGCCAGTAACTCGGATCTCGCTGCTGTCGAGGAAGTCACCGCTTCTTCGTCGTCGTTCAGCTCGCGGCGGCGGTAGCTCCCGTTCTCACGCTCGGTTTTGTTGCGCCTGTCCGCTTGCTTCATCACATCACCACACAGCCCGGCAGCTCGTTTGCGCCCATGGCGGGTGTGGGACCGGCAGCCAGTCTCGCATCGATTGCATCGGCCAGTGCAGTTGCCAGCTCCTCCGGTCGAGTTGTCCATGCCTCGACCAGGAGCAGAGCCTCAGATTCGCCAATGGGCTCACCAGACGGACCGATCTGCGCCGGATTAGCGGTAAAGATGCCCCCGTTGACCGAGAGCATCATGGGGCGGACGGCATAGTTTCCCGGGACGACCAGCTCAAACACATGCGTCACATCCTCCCGCCCGTCCTCTGCCCTCGTGTACGAGACCCGACACGGCAGCGCCACCTCGCGCGCACACTCTTCTGTAGCCCCTCCAACTCTGGCCGACATGGCTCGTGGCGTGCAGTGGTGCTCCCCGTCCCCGTCCCCGTCGCCCTCGGCAATCAACGCAACTCGGCTCGGCCCACACCTCCCGCGTTGGCAATGACGCGGCGGCAGCTGATGGCGATGGCAACCATGACCACGACCAAGACCACGATGGCGATGATCATCCAAGCCCAACCATGCTCTGACTAAACCATCAGTCTTGCACGATCCTTCATCGTGCTCGCTAGATGCGATGTATGGCGCCCCGGGCCACAGCGACAGTGATCACCACATCGACCACGACCACGACCACGACCACGACCAAGACCACAATGGCGATGATCATCCAAGCCCAACCATGCTCTGATGAAACTACCAGTCCCACACAATCCCCCATCGGCTTGCCTACCGCGCAGCGCAGACCGAGTTGCTGGCTGCTGCGCGAGTTGGCAAAGGCCGGCACTCGACGCCAATCGGCCGCAGCTCGATTGGGGCCGATGAGCGCCTCTGATCCCACACACGTCCCGGCAACCTCCAGCACCACCTGGCCTCCAATCAGCGCGCTTCACGAACATCTCAAAGCCTCCTTTGCCACGGCAAGTCCTCTGGGCGGTGCCGGTACCCGCCAGCGGGTGCTGATGTGGACGCCGGGCGGATCGACGGGGAGAACAATGGTGGAGACGGCCATCAAGCAGGCAGCCGCGGCAGCTGTGGCCGAGGACGGATGGAAGCCAGGAGAGGTCGATGTTGCCGCCATGGTCGATCTTGTCCGCCGAGGAGAACTCGATCGTGCCATGGTGACCATGGCGGCTCATCTCGCCTCGGCATCGTCAGCCGTCTGGAGCCGCGAGGTCTACACCCTCCACGGCCTGCTCTCCGAGCGGACGCTTCCGGTGGACGAGGCGCTTGCGCTCTACGACCAACTGGCGAGTGTAGGCTCATGGGGAAGCGACGCTCGTGCTGTCCACGCCTTTGTCACGCGTTGCCTCGCCACCGCGTCCGGCGTCTGCAACGAGTTCCTCGACATCTGCCCATCGGCTCGCAGCCACTGGGCGGTGGTCATTGCCGAAGCCGCTGAGGCCGCCGCTCAAGCCTGCGACCCGGACATTGATGGGCCGGCGCTTGCTGCTCTCCTGCCCGATCTGGAGCCCAAGCTCAGTGTGGCAGCCGGCGCACTTGGCCTCTATGTTGCCATATCGTTGCTCTACGGCCTGCTCTGCAGCTCGGCCGAGGCGCTCGTGTGGTCGATGGATGCTTCATCGCGACTGACACTCGTTACGGCGACGTGCTCGGCATGCTCGGCAGCGTTTGACTCTTGGGACGCTGGCGACTTGTGGATGGCAAGCGCCGCCTTTGACCTTCTCGCCGACACCATCATGTGGTCAGGCGGCCTTGACTGGGTCACTTGGCGCGCCGATCCCGACCCAGGCGCGCCCCTACTGGCTGCTGCGATGGGCGAGGCTAGCATCGTCATGCGGCTGGGTCTTGCTCCCCGCACTCGCGCCCTCGCCCTCGGCGCCGTATCTCCATCAGCGTTGCTTGGCATCCCCTGGAGCGGCGAGTACTACGAGGCAAATCCGCTCACTGATGCAGCTGTCTGGCACGACGACGGCTCTGTTGTCCACGAGTTCGCAGCCTGGGACCGCCCTGCGCTCAGCACCTTTGTGACTGCTGCGGCGGCATCGCACGTCTGGGCCCGCGACGCCATCACCTCTCTCATTCCCGCCCCCGCCCCGCGCTCGTCTACGAATCGCTTCTTCCGCACGCGCTCACCGCACACATGCTCGCATCCTTCGACCCGAGAGCAGGTCGCTCCACCGGCCGCGGGCGCGGATCGGTCTGGCCGGCTATTCGTCGCCGCGCCATCTCCACGCTCTCTGACGCCGGCCATCACACTCACGACGCTGATGCCAAAGCCGACACAATCGCTAACGCGCTCATTCCCACCCCGTCAAGCTCATCCAGTACATCCTGATGGCTACCAACCATCCGTGTCAACGTGCCATCATCAAATTTCCTGCCATTGAACCACGCCCGACGTGCCAACACCCGCACTTGGCGCCAGCACCCACGTGGTAGGCTTGGCCCTTGGTCAGCCCCCCCCCCCCCCCACCCCCCTCCACTCCTCTTCCACCTTAAGAAGCATCTGCCACCGCTGCTTTCCGGCATAGCGTTATGACAAGGGCCGTAGTCGGCTTTGCGGGCAAGTCGACCGCCGTCAGGGCTCGGCGGACAGTGAATGTATTCTCTGCGGCCTTTTTCAGCACTCGGACAACAATCTCCCGATGTGCATCAGGACTGAGTGTGATGCTGATACTTGTTCTTCTTGCGCATCTTGTCTGTTTACGTGCTCCAGTCTCTGCTAATTGCGTCGTCAAGCACGTCGAGCCGATCATCACTCCTTTGGCAGTCTTGGATGATGCCTATCAGGTTGTAGCGGCTCTCTTGGACTCTTCCAACAGCTACGTTGACGTTGCGTACGGAGGCCAGGCTGACAACCGAATTATGGTGCTTACTCGGACTGCAATTGGCGGTTGGAATGCTCCGGTCATGGTCGACAACACTGAGGACCATCCGCTGTTTATGATCGCGCACGACGTCGACCTCGACAGCTCGCCAGATCTTGTTGTGCCGTACAGGAGCTCGGACAACGTGGTCATCTACCGCAATGTTGGCTGGGACGCCTCCTTTGGTGCGGCCAAGATCATTCTTGTCCCATCCGATGCCGACGCCGACCCGTACGGCGTTGCGGTCGGAGATATCAACGGTGACAGCCTGCTCGACCTGCTAGTGGCGGCCGAGAACTCGGACGCAATCGAGGTGTTTGTCGGGACCGGGCCCGGCGCATTCTCACCAGTCCCGGTTGACATCACCAGCTCGCTGCCGACTAGCCAGCAACCTAGGGGGCCGCGACAGGTCATGGTCCACGACTTTGACGGCGACGGCCACAACGAAGTCATCTTCACCTCGTCATCGTCGAGCGGCAGGCGCGTCATCGCACTGCGTGGGCGGGCCGACCTTGTCTCGGTCCCAGCAACCTCTGCTGTGCTCCTGGATGACAACTCTGACGGCGCGTACACACTCGACATTGGCGACATCAACAATGACGGCCTCGACGACGTCGCTGTCACCCTTCGCTCCGAAAACCGTGTCGTCGTTTACTACAACCGCGGTGGCCTGCAGTTCTCGCCGCGGTTTGTCGCCGTCGAGGGCATCGACCAGCCGTTTGCTGTCAAGATCGGCGATCTCAACAATGACGGCTGGCCCGACCTGGTCTTCTCAGGTTTCGACGACGACGAGCTCCGCTGGGTGCCCAATGACGGAGTGGGAACGTTCCGGGCCCCACCGCAGGAGCTGGACGAGTCGCTGGCCAATGCGCGCGGCGTGGCCCTCGCTGACTTTGACGGCGATGGCAAGCTCGACGTTGTCGCTGCCAGCGACGAGACCAACGGCGAGATCCGGTTGTACACCTTTGACGACACGCTCTCGCCGTTCAAGCCGTTTGTAGCCACGTTGGTGACCGAGACTGCCAACGGCGCCCAGGGCGTCGAAGTTGGCGATGTGACGGGAGACGGGTTTGCAGACGTCGTCGTCGCCTCTTACAAAGACGACACTGTCATGGTCTACGTCAATGATGGCAATGGCAAGTTTGGCACGACCGTCGCCGACCACATCGAGCTGTACCCTGCGCCTGAGGAGCCTGGGACCGTGACCCTGGCTGACTTTGACGGCAACGGGTGGCTGGACGTTGCTGTCGGTGGCAAAGTGTCCGACACAGTCGAGTGGTGGCCCAACACCGGGCATGGCACCTTTGGCGCCCGTCTTCTCATCGGCACATGTCCCGAGCCGCGCCGACTCACTCCTGGCGACCTCAACAATGATGGGGTGCCTGACTTGGTTGTCGGGTGTTCTAACCGCGAGGATCCCAACCCGTCACTTCTCGTCTTTCTCAACGTCAACAGCGCCGCCGCCTGGACCAGGATTGCAGTCTTTGGCTCTATCGCCCCTTCAGAGTACTTTAGCATTGGTCTCGGCGACATCGACCTTGATGGGTATGTTGACGTGGTCTTTTCCGCCTCGACGCTGCAAACCTTGGCGTGGTCGCGCAACCTGGCTGGCACGGCCTTTGCCCCACCAACCACCATCGAGTTGCTCGGTGGCGTCGATGAACCACTCGGCATTGCGTTGTGCGACGCCAACGGCGATGGCGGGCTCGACCTCGTTGCTGGCATCTTGGTCGACTCGACCTCGTCGCGTGTCTCGGTCTACATGCAGACTGGACCCGGAACCGGGCTCTTTGCGCCGCCGGTCGACTACGGAGTCTTTGACCGACCGTTTGCTGTGGATTGTGACGACCTGACCGGCGACGGTATGCCGGACATTGCGCTCGGGGATCGCGACGACGACGACATCTACTGGTTCCGGAACTTGGGCTCGGGCACATTTGGCTCTGCCACCATTCTTCTCGCCACTGCCGACACGGTGACCACTGTCCGTATCCGCGACGTCAACAGCGACGGGTACAACGACATCGTCACTTCGTCACTAGGTGACGACAAGGTGAGGATCCTGTACCAGCGTCCGCTTCTGAGCGCGACAGCGCAAGTGGCCCAGCTCCCACCGGTCGCGACCGGTGTACAGCACACGCTGCCACAGTTGCACTACGCACTCAATGTTGCGTCGCGGTGCGTCCCGCAGCGGATCGATCTCCCGGCGGGCTACAATATCTCGGGCTGCTCCGCGTGGGGCCATCTTCCGGTCCCGGCTGGCGTCGACTGGACTGTGGCCGGCCCTGCAGGCTTGAGCGGAGACTCACGGCCGGTGATCGATTGCGGCGCTTCCGGCGGCGTGATGTTCGAGGTCACGGCGGGCGGCTCGCTGGTGCTGGAGAACATCCGGCTGCAGCGCGCCACGGTGGGTGCGGAAGTGACGGCGGCAACCGGGTTGCGCGTGAGCGGGAGCGGCGCCGAGCTGGCGCTGGCCAATGTGACGGTGACCGGCTTTTCGTCGGCGGCCTCGTCGGCGCTGCAGCTCTACTCGGGCATGGGCGGAGCGATGATGGTGGTCAACGGTGGGCGGGTTCTCGCCGAGAACTGTGTGTTCTCCCGCAACACAGCCGCCGACGTCGGCGGCATGGCGGCGCTCGTTGGTCTTGGCTCGGTGCTTGAGCTGGCGAACTGCGAGGTGACGGGCAACAGCGCGCTCGGCGGCGGCGGCGGCGGCGTGGCGGTCTTTTCGCCCGACGGCCGCGTCGCTACTCGCGACGGATGCTTATTTGCGAACAACATGGCTCCGGCTGGGACCGGCGGTGCGGTCCTTGTCGACAGTGGCGCGACAAATGCGCGCGTCAGTCTTGCCTCTACCCGGATTGTCGACAACGTCGCCGGCATCATCGGCGGTGGGCTCGGAGTGTTTGCCGCGGATGCCGCACGGGTTGAAATCGGCAGCGGCTCGCTTGTCCTCGACAACCGCGCCCAGGTCGGTGGTGGAGTTGGTGTTGTGGAGAGCAGATATGCTGTTCCGAAAGCACCAGGCTTTGCATCATCGGCGCTGGCGCGGGCCACTGCTAGCAGTGTGGCCAACGCAAGCGTAGTATTTCTACCCGGCTCGATTCTGGCCGGCAACCACGCGAGTTACGGTGGCGGGTTCTTTGCCTGCGGCGCAGCCGTGGACGCACAGCAGGCGAGCCTCGCAGCGCCGACGCCGGTGGCCAGCATCGGCGGTGGGTACGCGTTTGTCTGTCGCTTGTCAGACGGAAGCGCGCCTGCGATACCGACGTGGGTGATCGACCCAGTTTCCGGAGCACCAAGCTGTACTGCAGGTGGGTACGGACCGCAGCTGGCGACACCACCGGCGACGCTCGAGGTGGTGGACGGGGTGCCGTCAGCGGCATCCGGCGTGGCGTTTGGCGGCGGCGCCGTGGTGGCGCGCGACGGACTTGGGCAGGGCGTGGTTGACGGCCTGCTTGTGCTACGTGTGAAGGGCCCAGAGGTTGCGAATGTGATGGTGACCGGGGCCGAGCTGGGCATTGCTTTTTCGACGCTGACCGGCAGCGCCGACCTCGCCGGGGTGGGCGTGGCGGCAAGCGATGGGGTGCTCCCGCTTGAAGGGGCGGCACTCGAGTTGAGCGTGGGTGACGTGTCGAGGACGATGTCGATCAACGTCCGGCGCTGCCCCGCGGGCTTTGGATCTGACTCGGAGTCTGCGCTTGCGCCGACGTTTCTGATGTGCGTGCGGTGCGGCGACGGGTCGTACTCGGACTTTGAGTCGTCCGAGAGCTGCCAGGCGGTGCCCGAGTGCCCGGGCGCGTCGCAACGGCCGGCGGCAAATAACGCGACACACCTGGCAGCGTGCGTGTGCGATCGTGGGTTCTGGTCACCGGAGGTGCGGCCGACGCGGGCATGTATGGTGTGTCCCGAGGGCGCCGAGTGCGACGGCGGGCGGGCGGTGCCGTTGGCCAAGCCGGGCTGGAAGCGGACGAGCACGAGCGAGTTTGTCTTTGCCGAGTGCCCGACGCCGTCGGCGTGCCTCGGCGGGCGGGCTGGCGTCGAGTGTGCGCCGGCGTATGATCCGGCGAGCTTGATGTGTCGCAGCTGCGCCAGCAACGCGTTTCGATTCTCCGACGGAACGTGCCGCAAGTGCCCAGCCATGTCGCTGCCAATGCTCTACCTGTTTGTAGGCAGTGTGACGATGGTGGCTCTGGCTGCGGCGGGCGTCGTTGGATGCACGGCGCGGATGATCGAGCGCGACGAAAGAGCGGCGCCAGAGGCAATGCCGCAGTCGGAGCGATACAAGCTTGTGCCGCACGCGCTCTCTGTCGGGCTCGTGTACATCCAGATTCTGGGCCTTCTTGCCGACGCACCGGTCAATTGGCCGAAGACGCCTGTGCGTGACGCGCTGCGGGTGGCCAACGCAGCCAACATCGACTTGTCAATTTTTGCCACCGACTGCACCATCAAGGACTTTGCGACGAGGTACTTGGTATCCGTGGGAGTCCCGCTGCTGTTTGCGGCGATGGCGTGCGGATGGATGATGGGGCTCAAGTTTTGCGCGCAGTGGGTGCGGTGTTTCGAAAGTCTGCGGTGGCGCAGACTCCGGCGTGGTCACTCTGTGGACGGCTGGTGTTTACGCTCGGCCCGCTAGTGTACATTCCGCTGTGTCGGATCACGCTGGTGTTCTTTGACTGCACGCGGCTGCCGGACGGCAACTACTACTTGGACGCAAACCTGAACGAGCAGTGCTTTTCGGCGACGTGGATGAAGCTGCTGCCTGTTGCGCTCGTGGCGCTTGTGGCGTATGTGCTTGCGCTTCCGACGTTTTTTGCAGTGACGCTGTGGCGAAACCGGCATCGGCTGAGTGAGCCTGCAGTGTTTGCGCGATACGGGCCGATGTACTCGTCGTACCGGAGCACGTACTTTTGGTTCGAGCTGGCGCAGCTTGTCAAGCGCCTCCTCATTGTGAGTGCAGCGCTGTTCTTCTCGCGGATCCAGGTGTGGCTGCTCTCGGTGCTTGTGGTCATTTTTGCGGTGTTTGGCGCGTATCAGCTCAAACATGAGCCGTACTTTTTCCCCGTCCACAACACGCTTGAGACGCGGCTCAACGGGTCGGTCCTTATCCTACTCGGCTGCGGGGTCCTGTTCTGGGCGGACGACTTTCCGAACGACCTGGCCTACAAAGTGATTGCGGCGGTGGCGGCTGCAGCGATCGGGCTCTCGCTCACTTTCCTCGCGCTCGCTGCTGGGCGCGATGTGCACGCGACGATCCGGTCGCGGCGGGTGGTGGCCGACGGCGGGAGAAGCGATGACGGCGCTGAGCTCGGGCTGCTCTCGACCCGCGACGAGGTCTTTCTCTCGCTGCTCTCCCGGCACGCCAGCGACCTCGAGCATCCTGCGCTTGCGCAGCCTGTGCTCAGCATCCAGAAGCGGTTTCAGAGCAAGGGCGAACTGGGTGGCCGCTCCGAGTCGAGCGCGTCGTCAAGCGTGTTGTCGAGTACCTCGTCGAGCACGTTTGAACGAGAGGCGATCAAGACACGGGTCGTCAGCTTTGCGCTTGATGACCTGGAGCAGAGAAGGGCGAGCTCGAGCGGGGCGAGCTCGCTCGAGTTGTCATAAAGCACGCGTGGTTTACGCAGCAGGATGCCTTTCGCTACTCGACAGTGAGCGAGGAGGGGTAGCGGACCCAGATGTCGCCGTAGCGGAGCCACTCGGTGGAGGAGCGGATCCAGCGGCCATTGTATCGGATCCAGTCGCCGTCGACAGCGTCGAGCGACTTGCGCTCGAGAAGCTCGCCGCGCAGCTTTGTGGAGGAGACGCCCTGAGTGTAGGGCAGGAGCTTGATGGTGAGTAGCTTCTCACAGAGCTCGCGGCCGGGAAAGTTGGGCATGTCTTGGCCGCGGATGTAGCAGGAGGAGTCTGCGTCTGAGCGATCGATGATGCAGTCGAGGTACGGGGTAGGGTTTGTGGACGGGATGACAAAGACGACGTCCGCGTAGGTCTTGACATTGCGGATGCGCTTGACGGTGTTGTCCATGGGGTAGCGGTTCTTGAGGCGGAAGATGGACTCGTCGTCGTGGACGCCGACGACGATGCGCGCGGCGTGCTCGCGCATACGAGTGAGGAGGCGGATGTGGCCGTCGTGGAAGAGGTCGAAGCAGCCGACAGTGTATGCGGTGGTGAACTCGGGGGTGGCAGCCGGGCCTGCGCCCGAGCCGAACAGCTCGGTCGCCTGATGGACCGGCGACTGGAGCTTGAGGCGCTCAAGCTCGGCCAGCGCCGAGGCCTTGCCGACCGACGAGGTGCGGACCTGGAACTTGTGGGCGAGCGAGGTGTGGGCCCAGCGGACAGAGAGGGCGAGGCCGGCGAGGGCAAAGTAGGCGAGGAGGGTGAAGAGGTCAGCGGCACAGGAGAGGAAGAGAAAGGCGAGGCCGATCGAGTCGAGCTTCTCCTTGACCTTTGCCTCGATGGAGAAGCCGATCATGCCGCCGGCACCGCCATAGCGGGCGTAGCCGACGTCATCCGAGGGGCGGCTGGGGAAAAAGTCGATGACGCGGACGGCCATATCGACGACTTCGTAGCCAGTGAGGACGGCGAGGACGAGAAAGGCAGCAGCGCGAAGCGGGAGCGGAAAGGGAAGCTCGTTGACGTTGAGGAGCATGGCAACAAAGCCGACACAGTTGACCAACTTGCCGACAAAGATGGAGAGAAAGGTGACGAGCGGATCATCGTCCTGATGCTTCTTTGTCTTGCGATCTTGAGAGACAAGACCAGAGAGATGAGCGAGAAAAACATCATGCACAATGAGAGACAATGCCGAGAGCCAAGGCAGACCAAGGGCCATGCCCAGAATGAGGGGAATAACCATGGCGAGACGAACGGCTTGGACAGTGACAGGCGAGTTGGGAACGATGGCAAGACCAAAGAGCGAGATAGCATTGCTCGGCAGCGATGCCATGGCTGCCTTGCAAGCCAGCGTTGTCGGCACATACACAACCTTGTCATACACCTGTACAGCAAGCCATAGAAATGGCCCAGACATGTGGTTGCTACCGGACATGGACAACGGAGGCTGTTGAGTGCGGTGTGCGGGGCTGGTGGTGCGGGGGTGTACCTGCGCGTGACGTTCGGTGGACGTTTGCGTGAGCGCAATGATTTCGGGTGAAAGTTTTTTTGGTTCAATTTTTTTCTGTGATGCCGCGGTGGGAGGAGACAGGAGGGGGGGGGGGCATGGGCGCGTGGTATCGGGTGGCATGAAGACGTCCTAACAAACATGTGCGTCTTTGCGTGCTGTGCTTACAAGGTGTGTGTGTGTGCGTGTGTGTGTGTGTTTGTGTGTGTGTCGAGTAGAGAGATCTTGCGCGAACGTGGACATGAGGGGTTAGTACGCGGGCTCGACAGGTATGACGGCATCTGTGAGCATGGAGAATGTTACATACAATGACAAGAGCATGAATGGCGTGCTGCATCGCATGGCCGATCCGCACCCGATGGCCGCACCGCCAAACAGCGCTAAATGCCTTCCACAACGACGCTCGACTCCAGTGCATCGCAGGCCGGCGCTAGCGCAGCGTGGTGATGATCGGCCAGACGAGGGCCGCGATAAAGACAAAGCACATGCAGATGTTGCCGACAAGAAAGGCGGCGTTGAGAATGCGTGACGAAGTCGAGCCGTGGACGGTGTTGACGATGCCGACGACAAGCATGAGCGAAACGGCGCACATCGCCGTGGCGCACGCCTCGATCCACGACGCCAGCGCAGACTTGTACGGCCAGAGCGCAAAGTGGACAACAAGGGCCAGAAGAAGGATACCAAGCATGGCAATCGAGGCAAAGGTAAAGTGCGGATCGTTGTCAAAGATGGCAATGGTGGCTACAAGGGCAAAGGTTAGCCGCCGGACGAGGACCACCACCTCGTACCACCGACAGCTCGGCCGGTAGCTTGCGCGCAGAAAGTCGAGCGCAATGTAGATCGGCGAGTGCTGGGTCCGCTCCTGGCGCGCGACGTAGATGATAGTGACAGCACCCGCAATGATAATGATGATTGTGGCGATGGCGACCTTGGCCATGCCGCCGTACTCACTGCTACCCACCTCGCACCTGATCCACGGCGCGACAAAGAGGAACCGCCCGGCCGAGAGCTCGTGCTGTGGGATTTCAGGGACGCACGCAAAGATCGAGAACGCGCGCGAGGCGGTGGGAAAGATGAAAAAGTAGGTGACCACCAGAAGCATCCGTAGCGCCCGTGCCTGCAGTCCGCGCACGTCGCGCATCTTCTGAGCGTCGACCACTCGCCGCGACGTCGGCCCGTGCTCCGAGTAGTGGCTCTGGCTGACGCAGAGAATGAAGCGGTGGCAAGTAAAGGCGGCGGCGACCGCTGCCATGAGCATGATTGGCAGCGAGAGAGTGAGATAGAACTGGTGCTCAAAGTCAAGGCCTGCACACGCCAGGCCGGTCATCTGGACGCTCGACGCCTCGACGACGCTCGCCAGCGACTGGGCCACCTCGGTTGGGTCGATGTCATAGACGGCCACAATCGCCGCAAGCGACTGCAGGTACACGATAAACGACTTGGAGACAGCTTCGACGTGCCTGCGCACCTCAGTCCGCCCCTGGTGACCGACCGATGTGCTCGTCATCCGCAGCGACCGCGGGCCATCAAAGAGAACCGAGCTCGACCGTGGGCTCATGCCCTTGATCGCGTGTGTCTCGGCTGGGTCAGAGAGCGACGACGAGTCGGACGAGGTCGACGACCGAGCAGCAAGAAACAGCTGGGCGGTGTCGGCATGCGCGACGCCGCTGCGTCTCACTGCGGCGCGATACTCACGGATCCGATCGACGACCACGTAGAGCAGGATGGAGAGGAGGCCGAGGCTGATGACCGCGAGCTCATAGTTGCGGCGGAGACCCATGACCGCCATAAGGCCTACGACGATAGCCTCAAACACAAAAAGCGCAACCTCGCGCCAGAGCCATGCCATCCATCGCAAGCCCTGCCGGAGCGCGTGACACTGCTCGATGCCCGAGATGGCGGCAAAGTTGAGCTGTTGAAGCGAGACTCGCCGATCGGCCATGAGAACAAAGACAATGACCATGACCATACTGAAGAGCAAGATGCCGGCGGTGGCAACCAGCGACACCGACTTTCCGCTTGCCAAGCACCGCCGGCACTCACCCGCAGTGTCGGTAAAATACCCGTCAGCGCACCGGGAGCAGAGCCGGCCAGCATAGCCATCGGCGCACTGCGTGCCGTTGTGCCCGGGACACACCCTCTGCGCACGGACAAGTGAGTCACGGCAGGGGATAAAGACGTAGTCAATCTCGCGGTCGCGGCTCGTGCGGCGACAGCCCGAGTTGATCGACATCTGGTAGCCAGGCCGGGCGATTGGGTGCGCGTCACCTCCCGGGCACACTGCGCCCTCAATCGCCGCACACGAGACGCATCCAGTAGCGTTGGCCCAAGCCCCGCACCGGAACGAGCCCTGCTGGCAGTGGCAGTCGCTGACGGCACCAGAGCCGGGAAGCGAGGTGGTGAGCGGCGGACAAGCGTCGCACTTGGGAACGCACATCGATCCAAAGTCGCCGTACGTGTTGCCCGGGCACTCGGTACAGAACGCGCGCAGGCCGCAGCCTGTCCTTCGCTGACCGGCCGGGCAGGTGTGCGCCTGGGCCGATGAGATGCGGAATGGCGAGCCCGGAATGGAGCGGAAGCCTTGGTCCGAAACGGGCGCGGACGTAAGCAAACGAAAAGTCGCGGCCGTCGGCCGGCGGGCGAGCGGAAAGGTAACAACCTGCATGCCGTTGCACTCGGCCATGGTTAGAGGCGAGGTGACACCGTCGATGACCACCGACGCCGTAGCGCTGGGATCGCCATCGGCCGGCGCAAGCCAGTTGCCGAACTCGTCAAAGATCATGACGCCGGCGGTGGCTGGTGCCGCCAGCTCGATCAGGGCTGTCGGGCTAAAGGTCCTGGGCAGCAGCGTGTTGCATGCACCGCAGCACGCGGCGTACGACATCTGGTGATTGGCAGGGCCAGGAGTTACCTCGATGGTGCGAGAACCCATCGCAAGCCTGGTGCCGTCTTTGGCGAGGACAAGGGTGAGGTTGTAAGTACCAGCCCGCGTGGGCGCGATGAGCGGCACCTTGTACGTACCCGATGCGTACGAACCCTTGCCGAGAGTAAAGTTCGATCCGGGCAACAGGACCGGCGTTTCGGCCTCGACAGGCCACGACAGGAAGATTATGGTGGTTGACGCAACCATGACCGACGATGGCGGACCAGACAAGGCCGTGGCGTTGTACAGGCACGGCGGGAGAGCGGGCGTCCAGTCATCGTCCATATCGCAGGTGACAACTGGCGCGAATGGCGGGAGTACGTAGTTGTCATCGCATGTGATGGCAAGTGACCACACACTGGTGTGGATCATTTCGGTCTTGCCGTGTGGGACGACATCCACCGAAACGGAATTGCAACTGCAAGGAGGCGGCGGTGGTGGTGGAGGCGATGGAGGTGGCGGTGAAGGAGGTGGCGGCGGCGGCGAAGGAGGAGGCGGCGGCGATGGTGGTGGAGGCGATGGAGGTGGCGGCGAAGGAGGAGGCGGCGGCGAAGGAGGCGGCGGCGAAGGAGGAGGCGGCGATGGAGGAGGCGGCGATGGAGGAGGCGGCGATGGAGGAGGCGGCGAAGGAGGAGGCGGCGGCGATGGAGGTGGCGGTGGAGGTGGCGGCGATGGTGGCGGCGGCGGCGAAAGAGGTGGCGGCGGCGACGGAGAACCGACCAAGGCCACTGACTTGCTTGCGCTTGTACGGGCGGTCAGAAAAGGCCCTGACCTGGGTCGCAGCACATTCGAGGGAAAGTAGCGCGCACTCGACTGCCTATCAGCCACACTCGTTGGACTCTCACAGCTTGATCCGACCAGATCGCAAGCTATTGTGTACGTATCCCGGCTAGTGGGATGCGGAACAGCGATGACCGCCACTCCGAGCCTTGTGTCGAGCGCAAGCATACATCCACCTTTCAAAGAAGACGTCGACCACGACGCAGCCACCACATGTGTGCACGATGTGCCCGAGTACGAGCACTTTGTGAGGTACGTGCTGCCATCGGCAGTGGTAGAAGCGATCACAACCTGCGAGTTAGAAGTATCGACCTGGAGCGAGCTCGACATCGAAGAAGAGACTACAATGCCCCCAGACACGTCTCTCCCAGTGCAACCTGTTCCAGCCAACGAGCACGAGTGAAAGTACAGCCGGTTATCATCCGTGTTTCGGGCGGCGAAGACGAGCTTGCTGCCGGCGATGCCTGCAGATGGGAACAATCGATCCGAGATCGCGCTCTGCAGCGAGCATGAGTCGAGAGAGAGCGTGCATCGGTATATATAGACACGGGTGTCACCATTGTCTCTGTTTGCCAAGACAAACACTGTCGAGGCTAGCGGATGAACAGCAACAGACGAGTGTGAGGGAGGGTGGGCCTTGTCGAGCACGGCGGTGGCCTCACTGCTTGCCGACGTCATCCCACTCCTCATGATGGCCGTTCCATAGTAGTGAATACCACCAGATGATTCGTCATACACAGAGAGCGAGACGTAGGCTTGAGACATGTACATGGCGATGTCCTGCACACCAAGGATGGTGAGACCGCCGGAGCGAGTAAAGTCCGCACCGGGAATTGGGACACCATCCGGCAACAATGGAACAAAACGAACTTGTCGTTGCGCAGAGCCATGGACACCCATGACCGCCCCACTTGCATCGTCACGCGCGACAAAATAGTCATTGAGTTCTGGTTGGTATGCCTCTAGAGCATTCCTTCCGCTCTCGTGCGGCGACATCGCAGACGGCGTTGCAGCGACATCGCCGCGTTCGCCGGTGAGCAAAGCAGCAACGACGACGACGACGACGACAAACAGCAGACGGCACCAGTTTGCGCGAATGACTCTAGACCCAGCCATATACACCGGCATACTACCTACACACCAGGCAGACACTGTGTACGCAGGTGGAAGAGAGCTGGCCCCAAACCACAGCTTGTTCGGCGAGCCCTCGCTGAGCGGCCACGGTGCAAGTCTGACGGACATTTTTGTGGCCATCCAACCCGTTGCGAGCTCTTCCCCTTCCGACCACCTCACCGTCCCACGGCAACGACGGCAAGGATCGCATTCCGCCCCCACGCAACCCACCAACAATGCTGTTAACGAGGACACGTCGCACATGTGCTTGGTGGGGCGTGGCTCTTGTCGTGGCTGCTATGTGTTTGCTCTCGGTAGTGGTCTCGGCTAATGTCGACCTCTCCCGCACTACCTTGGCTTTTCCGGACCGATTGAGACGCGAGACCAACTTTACGTATGGCCTATGGAGCGGGTCGCGGACGGTAGCGGTAGGCGTCCAACTGCGAGACGGCGACGGTACGCGTGTTGACAATGAGTTTGGCTTGGAGCCAGCCGATGTCGTTGTGGTCTTTCTCGGCGGATCTCACAGACCGTCGGTCAGCGTCGTGGCTTTCGACAACGACCGTAATGTCACCGACTACACCAGCGGCGCAGCGTTTGGCTTCAATCTGACCTTTCCCACCAACGCGCACTACTTTCTGAACGTCCAAGTCGCCAATGTGTCGATTGAGCCGGGAGAGACGGTGGTCATCCAGGCCTTTCTGCCGTGCGCGGCCGGCATGCGCGCCATGCACCGCGACGATCGCGGCGTCAACTCGCACGAGTTCACCTGCGCGGCGTGTCCCAAAGGCGAGTGGGCGCGAGTTGACGAGAGTGAGTGCACGCCATGCAGTGGAGCTCATACGACTACTTTCGTTCCGCTGCCTGTCTCACAGGACGACTGCGAGTGCGCGCCGGGGTACTATAGGCTAGGACCGGCTGTTCTGGATTGCGTTGCCTGCCCCTCCGGCGCGATATGCCCTGGCCGCCATTACCCGCCGCGCGCCGAGCCGGGCTACTACCCGGGAACAAAACCTCACACGTTTGTACGGTGCCGCAACGAGGCGGTCTGCCCCAATAACGCAACGCAGGAAACCGGGGGCTTTGAGTGTGCCGATGGCTACCGCAGTCGGCTCTGCTCGCGGTGCGCGAGCAACTGGTTCGTCAACTCGCACGGCGACTGTGAATGCTGCTCCGCGTCGGGCCGCAACGACGCGGTAACAGTAGTGCTTTCATCAGGGGTCGTCGGCATCGGCATCTTTGTCTTTATTGTCTACGTCCTTGCCAACCAGTCGGTGCGGCCGCGATCGTCGCTCCCGCCGCAGCACTACCGCGGCCGGCTTGTGCTCAAGTGGGCGCAGCGGCTGTGGCGCGAGTTTCTGACGGTGGCATCGCTCTGCGCAGCGTTGTACGCACTGGTGGTGATGCGAGTGCTCGAGGTAATGCAACTGGCAGTCATGATCTTGCTGCTCATCCTCATCTCGACCTACATGGTGTTCTCGCGCGTGCTCCTTTTCCGTCGCCGGCGCCAACAGTCACACACATACATGCCAGCGGCTGCCTTGCCCGACGAGGAGCAGGAGATGCTCAACATCGGGTACCAGGCGTGGGACTCGCGATCGGGCTCGGGCTTGGGCTCGAGCTCGGGCTCGGGCCTGGGCTCGGACGTGGAATGCAAGACTGATGGGTTCACGCCGCCAGAGATTGATGATGGCTCGAGCAGGGGCAGGCGTGGCGCCGGCGATGGCGACGGTGTCGGCGAGGAGCGGGCATTTGGCAAGCGCGAGCACGCGACGGCGGTGGCCAAGTCATTTGTAGTGTACCTGCAGACTGTGTCGACGGTGGTGAGCGTGTACAATGTGGACATGGCTCTTGCGCTGCGGCAGATGGGCTCGGTCGTGGCGGCGGCCAACATGCGGATGAACGGGCTGGCGTGCGCATGGGACGAGTTTGACTTTGTCGGCCCATACCTAGCCACAGTTGTGGCATGTCCGGCACTAATGATAGCAGTGGTAGTGGCATACTGCTTCCATGGCTGGCTACTCCGGCTGAGGCTGCCGCCGTATCAAGTGCCAGAGGCGTACATCCAGGAGCTGCGGCTGCTGCGGATCCGCGCGCTGCGGCTTGTGCTGATCATTGCATACTTTTTCATCTTTCCTATCTCGTCGCTCTCGTTTGACATGTTTGCCTGCATCGACGAGGGCAACGGGTCGGGCGCAACGTTCCTGGCGCGAGCGCCGTGGATCCGCTGTGGGACGACGGAGCACCAGCAGCTGTTGGCGGTGGCGACCACGTCGCTGATTGTGGTGTTTGGCGGCTCTTCGCTCGTCATCTGGCGAGTGTATGCGCTGCGAAACGACTCGGAGGCCATCACCATCCGCGCGCTCAGCTTTCTCACCAACGGATATCGCGCCGGCGCCGGCGGGTACGAGGTGCTTGTGCTTGTGCGGCGACTGGTCTTTGCGCTTTTCGTGGCGCTCCTCTCCTACTCGCCCGAACTGCTCGGCGGAGCGCTTATGACGACACTCATGGGCGCGTTTCTGGCGCACTTTGTGTTTTGGCCACTCAAATCGTCGCTCGCGTCCTGGATGGAGGCGACCGGTCTGGTCATGGCCATGTTCTCGCTCATGGCCATCGTCTCGATGTACCACAATTCGAGCAGCGAGACAAGCGCGATCCGCGCTAGCTCGGTCTCCACGCCGTCGACGACGCTCAAGCTGCTCTCGCTCATTCTCATTCTTGGCAATGTAGCCCTAAGCATTGCCTTTATCACCGTCATGGTCGGGCCTGTCTTCCGCGACATGGTCGTCACCCGCAGTGGGCGGGGCCGCCAGCCCACCCGAGCCACCATCGACCGCACGCCACTCGTTCCTGATCCCGACCACATCCAATGACATGTAGTATGTACATAGTGAATGGTTATATGTGTGTATATGTATATATGTGTTTGTGTGTGTGTGCGTGAGTGTGTTGTGTTAGATGCGCGCGCGTTTTCGTCGTATTTTGGCGCAATCAGTAGCAAGGCCAAGTGCAAGACGGATATACCCGAGTCGGCCACCACTCGTCGCCGGACTCACCATGTCGTCCATTGTGCAGCGGACGGCCACGCTGTTCCCCGAGCAGGAGCCGCTTCTTTCCGAGATTGCATCCCTTCGCGAGGCACGGTACGACATGAACTTCTTCCTTGTTACCTTGAGGCTGTGTGTGTGTGTGTGGAGGGGGGTGGGGTGGGTAGGTATGGCTATAGTTATGGCTATGACTGTGGTTGTGGTGGGGCTGTGGCTGCGGAGCGGTGAGATCGGTGGCCGACCTTCCAACAGGTCGCCGTGGAGACGACCTCTGCTACCACCACCTCTACCACACGCATGCTATTTCTGCTCTTCTTCTTCTTTGCAGAGCATGTGTACACCTCCTCCCTCCCCCTCCTCCCTCTTTCCAAACTGTTTTACCTCTTTCCATACCCATGTTAGGCCCCGTGCGGTACGCGGTGTACCAAGTGCCGCCTGTGTGTTTTTTGGGTCGCCCAATGGGCGCGCCCTCGCCTACCACCAGCTACCCATACGCGGCTAGCCACCCACACCTCAGCCAGCCAGCCCCTTCCAGTGGTGGTGGTGGTGTATGTGTGTTGGTGGTGGTGGTGGTGGTGGTGGTGGTGGTGGTGGTGGTGGTGGTTGTGGTTGTGGTTGTGGTGGTGGTGGTGGCTGCGACTGACTGTGAGTTGCGGGTATGGGTATGGGTGTGGGTATGGGCATGGATATCGGTGCGGCTGTGGCTGGTGCGGGTACGGACATGGGTATGGTTTGTGGATGATGGGGTGTGCAGTCTCTATCATCAGCTGACCGAGGCACTGGAGACGCTGCTGTCGACGACGGCTGTGGGCACCTCGTCGCATCTGGTGGCGTTCTTCGACGAGTTTATCGCGCCGCTGCTCAAGTACATCAACGCCAAGAGTTTTGTCAAGTTTGCGGTGCTGGCGTCGCGGCAGAAGGAGACGCCGGAAGAGTCGATGGCGTTCTTGCTGGAGATGTGCGAGAGCGTGCGCGAGGCGGTGCTGGCGGCCAAGGCTGCGACGTCGCGGAGCGGCGTGGCGGACATGGATGTGGAGGACAACGCTGCCGAGGCGAATGGGGCCAATAGCAAGGGCGGAATCGAGACTGTGGACATCGGGTCGGGTGCGGCCGGCGATGAGGCGATCTCAGCGGCAGACCTGCTGCCGTCGCCGGAGGACGACGCCGAGCTGCTCAAGGCGAGCAAGAAGAAGACGCTGGTGGGTCCGGTGACCGACTACGTCCACGTCTACCTCCTCACCGAGCTGGCGCGGGTCAAGCTCAAGTCGTCAGTCTCAGAGGCCAAGGCGCTGCTGGAGGAGGTCGGCGAGGTGCTTGACGCCGTGGTCGAGATGGATCCGCTGCTCCATGGGTTCTACTACCACATCAAGTCCGAGTACCACCGGATGATGGGCCCGGCAGACGTGTTTTTCCGCTACACCATGCTCTATCTCGCGGTCACGCCGCTCGACGACATCTCGCTCGACGTCCAGCGCGTGCTCGCCTTTGATCTCGGCCTCTCAGCGCTCATCTCCGAGAAGATCTACAACTTTGGCGAGCTGCTGCAGCACGAGATCCTCTCGTCGCTCGAGGGTACGCCGCACGCCTGGATGGCGGCCATGCTCGCAGCGTTCAACGCCGGCGACATTGCCGCTTACGAGACGCTCGCCGCCAAGCATGCCATCCGCATGAACGCCCAGCCGGTTCTCGTCGTCAACAAGGCGCTACTCTCGGAGAAGCTCGCCATTTGCGCCCTCGTCCAGATCCTGTTCGAGACACCGTCGGACGCGCGCGTGCTCTCGTTTGACGAGATCGCCGCTGCCACCCGCCTCGACGAGGACCGCGTCGAGCGCGTCCTCATGAAGGCACTCTCCGTCGGCCTCATCAAGGGCCGTATCGATGGTATCGACCGCACCGTCTCGGTCTCGTGGGTCGCACCACGCGTCCTCGACCGCGCCGCCCTCGGCACCATGGCCAACTCGCTCACCGCCTGGGCTGCAAAGGTTGACTCTGCTCTCGACCTCATCGAGCGCGATGCCGGCGAGCTGCTCCAATGAAACACACATCTGTCCCCCCCCCCCGCATGGACCGCTGCTCGTTGGCGCGCGGCCGCATGTCGTGTTTCACTGTGTTGGCATCGGCGGCTACAACACATGGTCGGCAAAGTCGGTATCGTACTCGTCGTAGTACTCGGGCAGTTCAGACGACTCGGAGTGGCCCTTGCGCTTGCTCTTCTTCTTCTTCTTCTTCTTCTTCTTCTTCTCTCCGTCGTCCGACGAGCTCGACTCGTCGAGCACCGACGAGTACCTGCCCGACTCGTCATCGTAGCCGTAGTCATCGTCGTAGCTCTCGTCGAGCTTGCAGCACGCGCACGGACACCAGGCGCACGACCAGAATGTGGCGCACGAGGCCTTGGTGCGATCAGAGCAGCACGCGGTGGTGCACGAGACAAACGAGCGGAAGGCCGAGCTCCAGAACCGCGAGCACGATGCACCAGTAGCGTAGCAGCCGTTGCGGATGGCGGCGGCGGCACGCTCACAGCATGGGCAGCACCCACACGAGCAGCCGGCAAACGGTGAGACGCAAAAGTACTCGTCGACATCGTCGTCGTAGCCGTAACAGCAGCACCAGGTGGCGTGCCAGCAGGCGGCGAGGCCGCGCCACGACGCGGTCCAGCACGATGCCACACCGTCCCACGCCTGCCCACAGCACGCCGATATCCGCTCACCACAGCGCCCGCATCGGCAGGCGCAGCACGCCGGGCACGAGTCGCATGCGCCCGGGCACGGATTCGTCGGCCGCGAGCACGCGCAGCCGGAGCACTCGGGCGTCCCGCACGAAGCCTCGCCCAGACACGGGCAGCACTCGACCTCTCCCAGATCGTCCTCGTCGCCGGGACGCACGCCGGCACCATCGACCCCGTAGGAGACCGGCCCAGCCGCCGTGCGCGTTCGCGACGACTTGCGCCGCCGGTGTTTGCGGTCGATCGGCCCGAACCGGGCCTCGTCGTCGGCGTCCCATTTGGCGGACGACCGGCACGCCAGAATGACGACGAGAGCAAAGAGCGCCACCACCATGGCAGCTGCCACAGAGATAATCATAATAATCACGTTGCGCTTGGTCTCATCCTCGCCATCGTCCTCGTCCGACATTCCGCCCATGACATCGCCGCCCGTCGTTGTGTTGAGTAGCGAGCGGGAGACACGGGAGACGGGCACAGCCATCACATTCGACGGCGCCGTTGCCAACAATTGCATTTTTCCACACCAGCCTGCCCAATACGACCACTGTCAGACGCCGTTGCAGCAGCAGCAGCAGCAGCAGCAGCAGCAGCAACAGCAGCAACAGCAGCATCATCGTCATCAGCACGGCGGTGACCGTTGGCAGCAGAGCTGCCGTCAACGAGCAGGCAGAGAACGATAGCCACACTCAGAGCCAACATCAGAACCACTCCGGTCGGTGCCTTGCCTAGCACAGCCATGTCTTGCCTGTCGGTGTGGGAGGGTGGGGTGGGTGAGGGTGAGGGTGGTGAGGGTGTGGGTGCGGTGGGTGGGCGGGAAGGGGGGGGGGGGTGAGGCAGGTGACGGAGCGACGACGAGCGAGTGAACAAGCGGTGAATGATGTTTTTTAATGGGTGCGGGTGCGGGAGAGTGTGGGGGAGGGGGAGGGGGGGATTGTTATTGAAGTGTGGGATGGTGGGTGTGGGTGTGGGTGTGGGTGTGGGTGTGGGTGTGGGTGTGGGTGGGTGGTGCGATGGGGGGCGGGGCGGGCCAGCGGTGGTGTTGGGGACAACTCACTGGATGACGTTTCCGCCCGAGGCGGTGGGGGCGTCAGAGAAGATGAGATCGTCGGCGTACTGGCGGTATTCTGCAGATGAGGTGGAGGTCGCGCCGGTCTTGGTGGGGGCGGCAATGACCGATCCGTAGAAAGAAAAGTTGTCAAAGAGGCCATCTGAGTCTTCGGAACGGACCGAGACGTTGGACTCATGGATGGAGATGCGGAGAAAGTCGTCATCGATGTTGGAGAGGTCATTGGCGGCGCGGACCGAGGGAATGTAGACCGGCTCGGTCCGCTTGGCAAAGACATCATCCCAGTTGAGCGAGGTGAAGAACGCGTGAGTCTTGAGCTCCTCGACGTCGGACGAGCCCGAGCCAAGGCGGGAGGTGGCGTTGCGGTCGAGGAGGCGAGAGATAAAGTCGCGGCCGGCCTGCGAGATGTCGTGCATGTCGTCAAAGATGAGCGGCTCATTGAGGATGGCGTCGTACACGTCCTGGCGCGACGCGTTGTCCTTGTTGCGCGGGAACGGCGAGTCGCCAGCCATCATTTCAAAGACCAGGATGCCGAGGGCCCACCAGTCAATCTGGCGGCCGTACGGCTTGCCCTCTATCATTTCGGGCGCAGTGTACTCGGCGGTTCCGCAGAACGTCGAGGTCTTGGCGTCCGGGTTCTCAAGCTTCTTGACGAGGCCAAAGTCGGTGAGCACGATGTGGCCGCCCGAGTCGAGGAGGATGTTCTCGGGCTTGAGGTCGCGGAAGATGATCGATTGTGAGTGGAGGTAGCCGAGGGCGAGCGAGAGCTCGGCGGTGTACAGCCGGGTCTGCACCTCGGTGAATGGGCCGTACGTCTCGAGAGTGTAGAAGAGCTCGCCGCCATTGCAGTAGTCAAGGACGAGCATGAGCTTGTCTGCGGTGTGGAAGGCATAGTGGAGCTTGATGACAAACGGGTGGTCCATGATGACCAGGCTCTCCTTTTCGGCCTTGGTGTGCTCGATCTGGATCTTTTTGCGCAGCTTGCGCCGTGAAATGATCTTCATGGCGTAGTACTTGCTCGTCCCGCGCCGCTTGACGAGAAGGACCTTGGCAAACGCGCCCTGTCCAATGACAGAGACCTGCTTAAAGTCCTCGATCTTTGTCCGCTCCGACTTGTCGCGCACAACCTTTCCTGCCGACGTCGTCAACGTGATCTCGGAAATCTTCTCGGTCCGTGAAATGTGCATGAGGTCGTCCATGTCCGCCGGCACGGTGTCGGGTGACGATGGCTCGGCAACCTCGACCTGTGCCTCTGTGTTGTTCCGCGCCGCAAGGTTGCGGAGATTGGAGCCTGACTGGGCCGAGCCAGCCATGAGGTGGTTCGACCGGATCGACGGCGACGGTGCCGAGGAGCCTGAGCGGCGCCCGGCGGCAGCACTTCCGACTCGAGTGATCAGGTCCATCCACTTGGCACTCTCCTTCGAGTTGCGCGCCGCCAGCCAGAGGTCGCGCTTGGGCGTCCGCAGGATGAACGCCCACTTGCGTCCGCCCTCAGACTCGGCAAGCTCGTGGACCGACGCTGTCGCCAGGCGGATCTTATCCTGGGCCTCGTGGTAGTTGATGCCTGTCTCCTGCTCGGGCTGCCGCGACCGAAACGTGTACAGCGTGGCATTGGGCAGGCGGATGTGGACCCACTTGGACTTCCACACTCGGCGCTCGGCTCCGTACCGCGAGAGGAAGCCCGAGAGCTCCGACGCCGGCAGCTCCTCCACCGGCGTCGACACAAACTCCTTGATCAGCGCTGTGTCGTACAAGGTTGAAGCCGGCGGCAGCTCCTCGTCCTTTCGCCGCTTCTCCTTAGACTTGGACTTGTCCTTGGCCTTACCACGCTCGCGCTTGCTCGACGTCGCCTTATCCTTGGCCTTCTCCTTATCCTTGGCCTTGGACTTTTCCTTGTCCTTGGCCTTGGACTTTTCCTTGTCCTTGGCCTTGGACTTTTCCTTGTCCTTGTCCTTGGCCTTGGACCTGTCCTTGTCCTTGGCCTTGGACTTGGCCTTGTCCTTGTCCTTGGTCTTGGACTTGGACTTGTCCTTGTCTTTGTCCTTGGCCTTTGGCCGTCCTGCCATATCCGATGACTTTGGCATGCCTCTCAGCCGTCCACTCTCGTCTCCTTCTCGCTGCCTGTTGGTATCCGTGCTGTGAGTCAACCAGCCATGTGTATGCATTGTTCGTGGTCGTGATCGTGGCCGTGATCGTGATCGTGGTCGTGGTCGTGATCGTGGCCGTGGCCGTGATCGTGATCGTGATCGTGATTGTGATCGTGATTGTGATTGTGATTGTGATCGTGATCGTGATCGTGATCGTGATCACCCACCCTTGCGACCACAGAGAAAGCCAGGGAGGACAAGGATAGGGCAAGGACAGAGGGAAGATAGAGACGGAGGGAGAGAGAAAGAAGGAGAGAGGGAGAGGGAGAGGGAGAGGGAGAGGGAGGGGGAGGGGGAGGGGGGAGGGGGAGGCGGCGGGGTGGCGGGGTGGCTATGGCACAGGCGGCGGTCTTGTTCGCTGCGGTTTTGACCTGGCAGGACACCGGGCTCGTGGTCGACGGCGACTTCCTTCGCTGTCTTTCCTCCCTCCCCCCCCCCCCAAAACGAGGGAAACACAACACCGTCGACGAGCCCTCTTGGGCCCCCGCAC